TGGCTCTGGAACCCGAGACCTGGAGAGGGGTTGGACACTCTACTTTGCTGGAGTTGCTCCGGGTGAGAGGCGGAGGGCTGGGGTTGGCTTTTTGTTAGCCCCGAGACTCTCTGCCTGTGTGTTGGGGTTTACCCCGGGGGACAAGAGGGTAGCTTCCTTGCACCTTCGGGTCGGGGAACGGGTCCTGACTGTTGTTTGTGCTTATGGGCCAAATATCAGTTCAGAGTACCCACCCTTTTTGGAGTCCCTGGGACGAGTGCTAGATAGTGCTCCATCAGGGGACTCCATTGTCCTGCTGGGGGACTTCAATGCTCACGTGGGCAATGAGAGCTTGACCTGGAGGGGTGTGATTGGGAGGAACGGCCCACCTGATCAGAACTCGAGCGGTGTTTTGTTATTGGACTTCTGTGCAAGCCGCAGTTTGGCCATAACGAACACCATGTTCGAACATAAGGATGCCCACCGGTACACTTGGTACCAGGGCAGCCAAGGTCACAGGTCGATGATAGATTTTGTAGTCGTATCATCTGACCTGCGGCCGTATGTTTTGGACACCCGAGTGAAGAGAGGGGCGGAGCTGTCAACTGATCACCACCTGGTGGTGAGTTGGATCAGATGGCAAGGGAACATGCCGCGTAGACCTGGCAGACCCAAACGCATAGTGAGGGTCTGCTGGGAACGCCTGGCAGAAGAACCTGTCAAGACGGTCTTCAACTCCCACCTCCGGCAGAGCTTTGACCACGTCCCGAGAGCAGTGGGAGACATTGAGTCCGAGTGGGCCTTGTTCCACTCTGCGATTGTCGAGGCGGCTGTTGCTAGCTGTGGTCGTAAGGTGGCCGGTGCCAGTCGTGGTGGCAACCCCCGTACCCGCTGGTGGACACCAGAGGTTCGGGGAGCCGTCAGGCTGAAGAAGGAGGCCTACAGGGCGTGGCTGGTCTGTGGGTCTCCGGAGGCAGCAGACAGGTACCAGATAGCCAAGCGGGGTGCAGCAGTGGCAGTTGCCGAGGCAAAATCTCGGGCGTGGGAGGAGTTTGGTGAGGCCATGGAGAAAGACTATCGATCGGCTCCAAAGAGGTTCTGGCAAACTGTCCGGCGCCTCAGGAGAGGAAGGCAGCAACTCGCTCACACTGTTTACAGTGGGGATGGGGAGCTGCTGACGTCAACTGAGGCTATAGTCGGACGGTGGAAGGAATACTTTGAGGAGCTCCTCAATCCCACCAATGCGCATTCCGAGGAGGAACCAGAGCTGGGAGGCCTGGGGATGGACTGTCCGATCTCGGGGGCAGAAGTTGCTGAGGTAGTCAAACAACTACACAGCGGCGGAGCCCCGGGGGCGGATGAGGTTCGTCCTGGGTATCTCAAGGCTATGGATGTTGTAGGGCTGTCATGGTTGACACGTCTCTACAACATTGCGTGGTCATCGGGGGCAGTTCCTAGGGAGTGGCAGACCGGGGTGGTGGTCCCCATCTTTAAGAAGGGTGACCTGAGGGTGTGTTCCAACTATAGGGGGATCACACTCCTCAGCCTCCCTGGAAAGGTCTACTCCAAGGTACTGGAGAGGAGGGTCCGATCGATAGTTGAATCTCAGATAGAGGAGGAGCAATGTGGTTTTCGTCCTGGCCGTGGAAATGTGGACCAGCTCTATACCCTTGCAAGGGTGATGGAGGGGGCATGGGAGTTTGCCCAACCAATCCACATGTGCTTTGTGGATTTGGAGAAGGCTTATGACCGTGTCCCCAGGGGCACCCTGTGGGGGACGCTCCAGGAGTATGGGGTGGGTGGCTTTCTGTTAAGGGCCATTCAGTCCCTTTACCAGAGGAGCGTGAGTTTGGTCCGCATAGCCGGTAGTAAGTCGGACCTGTTCCCAGTGAGGGTTGGACTCCGCCAGGGCTGCCCTTTGTCACCGGTTCTGTTCATTACCTTTATGGACAGAATTTCTAGACGCAGCCGTGGTGTGGAGTGTGTCGAGTTTGGTGGCAGGAGAATCTCATCTCTGCTTTTTGCGGATGATGTGGTCCTCCTAGCTTCATCCAGCTCTGACCTTCAGCTCTTGCTGGGTAGGTTCGCGGCCGAATGTGAAGCGGCTGGGATGAGGATCAGCACCTCCAAATCTGAGACCATGGTTCTCGACCGGAAAAGGGTGGCTTGCCACCTCCGGGTCGGGGGAGAGGTCCTACCTCAAGTGGAGGAGTTTAAGTATCTCGGGGTCTTGTTCACGAGTGAGGGTAGGAGGGATCGGGAGATCGACAGGCGGATTGGTTCGGCGTCTGCAGTGATGCGGACGCTGAGCCGATCTGTCGTGGGGAAGAGGGAGCTAAGCCAGAAAGCCAGGCTCTTGATTTACCGGTCGATCTACGTCCCAATCCTCACCTATGGTCATGAGCTTTGGGTAATGACCGAAAGAACGAGATCGCGGATACAAGCGGCCGAAATGAGTTTCCTCCGTAGGGTGGCCGGGCTCAGCCTTAGAGATAGGGTGAGGAGCTCGGACATTCGGGCGGGACTCGGAGTAGAACCGCTGCTCCTCCGGATCGAAAGGAGCCAGTTGAGGTGGTTTGGGCATCTGGTCAGGATGCCTCCTGGACGCCTCCCCGGGGAGGTGTTTCGGGCATGTCCTGCCGGCAGAAGGCCCCCGGGTCGACCCAGGACACGTTGGAGAGGTTACATCTCCAATCTGGTCCGGGAACGCCTTGGGGTCCTGCCGGAGGAGCTGGTGGACAAGGCCGGGGAGAGGACGGCCTGGAGCTCCCTAGCTGGGATGCTGCCCCCGCGACCCGGACCCGGATAAGCAGAGGAAGACGAGACGAGACGAGAGACATTAATTCATTTAGTTTTGAAGTATTCTGAAACACTAGACAGGCAGCTGGAAGCATCGCCTTTCAGGTTCTTGGCTCATATCCTTCCTGACTGCACTGCTTCTTTAAGCCCCTCAAGTTGATTCAAACAATATACCTCTAACCTTTCTAAAACAAATATTTCATCACACTTCATTTACACACACACACACACACACACACACACACACACACACACACACACACACACACACACACACACACACACACACACACACACACACACACACACACACACACACACACACACACACACACAGACACACACACACACACACACACATATATGAAATTAAAATTTCATGCACATTTTTGTGAACATCCTGAGAGCCCAAAACCTGATTTAAGGATTTTGGATTCACTATTTTATTATTCTGCTCAAGCTAAAGCATTTTTCCATATCTAGACTTGCTTTCATTAAGAGGCCGGCTGCTATTTTCAAATTTTTCTACACTGGCCATCGGCCGAAATTATTTTTAAAAGCCAATTAAAAAATAATAAAAATCAGGCGCCTTTTGTCATTGTTTACACCTAAGAAACTATTCCTCCACTCTAGAATATAGCCTTCCTTTTACTTACGTTGTTTTATGATAAATTAAAGCAAAACATACTGCTGCCAGACCAGGACAATGACAGAGTTTGTTAGCTACAACACCCTTTTTCTTACTTATCTAAATCTAGCAACAGACAAAATTTCCTTTTATATTTGAAGGTCAATAAATATTAAGAGATTTATTGACTTATTTAACTTATATTGCACACAGTGAGTGTTTAGTTCTTTCACAATCAATGTGCTGCTAAAACGTGTATGTATGTATATATATATATATATATATATATATATATATATATATATATATATATATATATACACATACACATTTGTGCCTGAAAACAGTCCCTGAGAAATACACTTCTTGTTAGGAAAACATTTCCCCATCACCGACCGGTCTGAAACTGTCTGTGACCTCAGGTCGTTACATTTAAATCTAGGCAATTGTTTCCTCCTTCCGTTTTATTTTTATATCATCACATGTATATAAAATCAACATTGGTGAGTTTGCTGGGTTTTATGGCTGTTAGTTGAGCGTCATTAAGTCAGAGTGTAACAACATTTACTAGTGATGCTGCACACATCAAATAAATCCTAAGAAAGAGGTTAGGGGATGATAGCTCCACACATTTTCATGCTATTTTCAGTCTTACACACACTCACTTGAACTCTGCATGGCATTAATGGATGTCGTGTAAAGACGGGAGACTTTATCTCCATTTGCTCTTGTTAGCTATAATTTATTCAACAGGGTATTTCCTCTGAAACAATATGTCTGGATATGTGTTTGTATTTGCGTGCGTGTGTGTGTGTGTGTGGTTATGTATTTGTGAAGTCTCATGGATTTGAGTGTCACCGTCTCCCTAAGGAATGAGTTCATCTAACATACACAAAGACCCTCTCAGCATCAGCATAAGGTCTAGTGTAAGACGCAAATTTAGAAGAGGACTCACTGAATTTTTAACGTAAAAAGGAACTTCTAATTTAATGTATGTTACTGTGCATTTCTACAATATGTGATGCTTTGGGTTGTTCTAAAACTGTTCATTATTCATGCTGTCTTTCTTACAAGAGGATCTTTGTTGACATCTTTTTTTCATCTTCGAGCGCATGCCTGTCTGGGCGGCAAAAACAAACACAATATGGCCTACGATCAATAGGCGACATACTGTTTTAAGAGAGTTTGCAGGTGAAACCCCTGATATATAAACACATTACCATCTAAAGACAGGAGGAGTTTTAGAGAGAAGCTTAAACTATGTACTGAAGACAAAATAAGAATATTAAAAGCCTGTATGAGCTATGGGATGATGGAAAATGTGGTCCCATTCATCTGTGCTTTTTCGACAATAAAACTTTTCATCAAGCCAAAAAGTGAACCACACAGCAAGAATGATCCATCTGCTTCAATAAATGCTACTCCAAATGTACAAAACAATAGAATTATAGACAAAATTTGCTGTTTCTTGCCACACAGTCCTGTGATGCAATGCAAGAAACATTAACATTGACGTCACAAAGATCCTCTTGTAGATAGCCATGGGGACCGTGCAATGTAGTATCTTTTCTAAAGTTGTGTTTCATATTTGCAGGGCAAGAATGTTGGATTGCAAGCTATTATGCGATTGACCAGAATTCAACGGAACTTTGAACTGGCAGGTAAGAAACTAAAACTAATGGTGGAACCTTAATTATTGGTAAAACGTAGGTTTATTCCAATGAAGATCACAAAAGTGAAAATAAATAAAAATCCCAGGATTAAGAGTTTTGTGACAATATATTCAAGATTATCATCTTATGTTTGGTTAAATTGAGTTGTGCAATTTTATATTACATATTAAAATAAGATAAAGATATTTCAATGTGGATTTAAAATGTTCAGTTTCATTTTTATCAACCTTGTAAAACTACTGCCGGGACAAGTCCTAAACTTAAAGCAACTTTAGCAAAATTGGAAAACAAGTTAGCTTAAAACGTGTTTTTTCATGTTTCTTAACAATGTTCTAGCATAGTACAGTTGTGGATATATTGTGGAGATTAAAAAACAACATGAAAAGTGAATAATTTGTAGAATAATTTAGGGGACTCTTAAATGTTTTTGTCAGGCTGTTTCAGACAGTAACAATCTATTACAGCAGGGTTACAAGGAATCAGGGTCTGCCGGGCCTCTTAAAGTAAACTCACTTTCTTGAGCTGCTTTACGATCATCCAGAGCTATCACTGGACATAATGACTCCCAGAAGATGGCTAACCACACTATTACACATCCATTACCATGATTACCAGGTTAAAATTGTTTTGTGGGTCAGCACTCTTCCAGCTAAAGGAGGAACCAATAGCCATCTACAACTACCAAGCTTGTTTAGGCTTGTCTTATTGCTTTCTTCACGATTTAGACTTTTGTGAAATTCATTTCTGAATGACTGAGCCAGATTTTAAATGGAACGTGAAGTAAATTTGTCAGCAACTTATTTGCATTAGAAATGAGTCAGTGGGAAATCAAAAAGGAACCTTTGCAGACGAGGTAATGAGGGGAAAACAACTTTTTTATTAATATCTATTATATATTTAATGGTGTGTGGGAAGGGTTTATCCACCATATTACTTTTGCACTGGTCAGGAGTTGGTTTGTAGCTGTAGGCTGAATGCTACACTAATTAAATAGCTCCAATACAGAAAAAAATACATCCCATTTTGTCCCCCTCCTCCTTTCCACATTTAGTTTAAAGTTTACTGACTGACATGAATTCAGTGCAGGTTTAGTCAGCCAGGTTGTTGGGCTAAGCTGACTGTAAGGCATGCTGGCAGGGTATATGCAGGGATGTCAAAATTAAATTAGACAACGTTTCAAGTAGTTTTAATAACATTTAAAAGGAACTCCAGCTATGAGGACGTGTATGCCCTAATAAGCCACACATTTTCTGTTGTACCAAACTATGTTGTTAGAAACACACAAAAATTGCAGTTTTTTTTAATAAATCTATAATATTTAGTGCATTTTTTTGACATACGTAGGGCACCAATGCACTCTGGGGGCGATCGCGTATATTGGTTGCACTTGGAAGAATAGCTATTGATGCATTTGTTTGTTTACGTGCTCACCGTATTAATAATTAAGTAAAATAATGCATTGTGCTGCTTCACTACAGTTTTATACAATAACACCCTGAGGTTGAAATTTAAAAATTAAACTACTTCAGTGAGTGCCCTATAAGAGTTAACAAGAAGGCTTAAAAACAATCAAATGTGCCAGGCAATAAAATCAAGCTCAGCAGGTTCTGAATGCTTGAAAAGTACAACAAGACGAAAGGAGACAATATCACCAGCAGATGGGGAGCATGTAACATTTTTCAATCTTTGCATCCATTGTCCCTGTCTCAGTGGACCATTGTTGCTGTTGCTGTTTTCTTTTCTCTCTGGATGGAGTTGCAGATTAGAAGCTATAGGCATTTGGTCCCTCCATGATTTTTTTATCTCACTCACAAAAGTGATGTCTGTCAGACCTTTAAAAGGCTAAATGGCACTGAACTTATTTGATACGACTTGCATAAATAGCTGCTTTTGTGATTCACTTTCTTCAAAGCTTCTTTTCATGTGGCGCTTGGTTAAACTCTATCCTCTATTCACGTGCGTCCCAGTGAGGCGGGAGATGAGATGCCTTCATGGGACTGATCTTGAGGGAGGTCCTGCTTTGGATTGAAGCGACTTCCAGCAGGCTTAATTTAACGATTTGCTCTCTAACACATGTGTGTAAATTAAATGTGAATCCAAATTTTCTCATGCGTGTACTTTTGGCATTAATTGAATTGCTGAATAGGAAAAAAAAAAAGAAAAAGGTTTAGACCATCAGAGCTTTGTTTCTTTGACATTCTTTTCCTCATGCACCCACACCTGCACACATGAATTCAGATCTCAAATTGAATTTTTAAACAATGACAATAAATATTATACGAGTATTTTTAAAAATATACTATAATGTAAATTAAACCAAGAACAAAAACATCAATTTTTGTATATTATCAGAATAATAGGACTGCCGTTTTTTGTATTTGTAAATTAGCTGCTTTTCCACTTCCTCCTACCTGTTTATGCACATTGCTTATCACACGGAGGCCATACCGCTGTCTGAGTGTACAGCCTCCAATTGACCTCTGAACGACTCGGGAAGACTTAAACTGATGCATGCTAACCTTGACCTCGACCAGACACTGGAGTGACAGCCGTTTAACAGATGGACTCCTTATCCTGACTTCTTCTAGGAGTAGTTAGCAGCAATTTGCTGCCCACAACCTTCTAAAATGTTCACAGGCTGAAGATTGATTTTATCAGTAGCTCTTGTCACCCACTAGTCTCTTCTGCCAACACTCCCAGTCCCTGCTCACTGTGAAACAAAGCAAATGTCATGTGCACAGCTTGAGAAAATGTGCACACACCCTCTTGACATACTGGTACACAAATAAAAAACCTGCCACAGGAAAAAAAAACATTTACCTTGGATTTAAGTAAGTGACTTTCTCTTAGAGAACAAGAATCATTAAGAAAATTCAATGTTTTATCAATTTGTGTACTAATGCAGATGATCTAGTTTATTCCCCAAGTATTTAATGATTTCATCCAAATCCACTTATTTTTAAATGTATAATTACCCACAATGACACTTGTATTGTACTGATGCTACACAATGTTGGAGGGCTGAGAAAATGGAATTTCTTTCTTTTTGGCTTCTTCTTTGTCTCATTTTTCCAACTAAGCACTGCTTAGTCCGTTTGCAACGTACTAAAGCGACACGTTTGGATTCTGTGATTTACGCCTTTATTACATCTCCCTTGGCCTATGCAAATTAACTTTTTATTAGAACCCCCGCCTCAGCCTTAAACCGGCTACAGACGGTGCAAAGCGCTGCTGCAAGGTTTTTAACAAACACAAACAGGCGTACCCATATCACCCCAGTTCTGGCACAGCTCCATTGACTACATGTGCTTTTTAGGATACGTTTTAAGATCTTGTTCTCTGTTTGTAAAGCCTTGAATGCTCTTGCACCGTCTTACCTGTCTGACTTGCTTATGCCCTATGTGCCTGTGCGCTCTCTGAGGTCAGCTGACCGCTAGCTACTTTGTACACATGCGATGCACTACAAAGCAAGAGAGGAGCGGGCCTTCATATGTGGCTCCCGTCCTCTGGAATGCACTGCCCATTACCATCAGTCAGTTGTCATCCATTGCAGCCTTCAAGTCACGTTTAAAGACCCGCTACTATGAGTTGGCTTTTAGTTAGAATATTTATTTGATTTGGTTTTTATCATAATGCTCCTTTAGGTTTTCTCATTTCTATTCATTGGTAGAGTTTAATTTTGTTTTACTGGTCTTTGATTTTGTAAAAACCCACTACTACGAGCTGGCTTTTAGATGGAATCTCCATTTATTTATTTTTTTTAATCTTAATGCTCTTTTAGGTGTTTTATTTGTATTTATTGATCATGTTTTATTTTTGTTTTATTGGTCTTCGTATGGTTTTGTGGTGAACAGCGCTTTGTTTAAATGTACTGTTACAAACCCTAGGTGGAAATTAGTTGTGGTAGGAGGGTTAACATAATAACTGGTGTGACAAAAGGTGAGTATGAATAAACATGTATTTATTAACAAAGAGTAAACACAAATACTCAGTCCTTGACTGGAATAATAACTAAACAAATTTACTCTATAATAATTAAATGAAGGCGACGGGGCAGAAATCAAAACACCTGAGGCAAAAGGCCTCAGGGAAGAAAACACGAGGATACTTTTAACAAACTAAAAATGCCGGAGCTAAATAACTAGGAAACAACACATCTTGACGGCTATCTTAAGTCCAAATACCAAAACAAAAACTGAGCTCTAAAGCTGAAAACAGAACAGAAATTCAAGCTTTTATTGCAGACAAAAGGATCATGAAACAAAAACGGCTATTAAACAAAAGGATTTAACCAAAAAGAACAACTTGTCTGGAGACCGAATTTATCAAAGTTCTTAATCCTAATACGAAACAGTTTGTTACAAAGATCCAAGGGCCGAGGAGAGAAGAACAGGGTGTGACGCTGTGGTTCTCTCCCTGATATCCCTGTGGTTCTCTCCCTGATGTCTTTTAAGCCATCAGCTCTCATCAGCTGATGGCTTGCAGCTGGGGTGCTGAAGGCAGGCAGAGCTGGAAAGCCAGCCTGAATGGGGACCTGTCCAGGGTCCTGAACCGAGAAGGGAGCAGAGCTGGGCCTTTCAGGAAGCGAGTCCAGCATCCATAACAGCCCCCTCCTTAAGAAAAAGAAAAAAAAAAGAAAAAAAGTTAAAATCCACCCTAAACAAAATAGATTTCAATTTTTTTTCTTTCTTTTTCATAACACAAAATAATGGAATCCATGCTGAAGATGAGAGCTCCTGCTAACTGCCTAGGGGAAACTATCTAACTCATCCCTGGTCTTCATGCGGACTGTTTGAAGGCAGCAAATTAAACAAAAACCTGCGAGAAGGAAAGGTGGCCCATTGACGAGCCCACCTCTCCAAATCCAGGGGCGTTCCCGAGATGGGTGTTTTACCCCCCAACACAACCCTCAACACCACAGCACTACTTAAAACAATAAACAGACTCTCCCTAAAGAGGGGGAGTCTCTGCAGCCTACCAGGGAGACA